GGTCAGCGGAAACGTCGTTATGTTCACGGGAACGGCCGTAGGAGGCAGTCGAGCGAAGGTTGCATTCCCAGTCGCTACTATTTGAGTGGAGCTCGAATTTCAGTTCCCTGCAGAAGTAGTGGTCACGCTGTAGCACGGTCGCCAAAATGCCGAATTCTGTCCCGTCACCGTGGGGGGAACGAAATTGGATGAGCAGCAGACACGCTTTGCGGATCCAAATGCATGACGAATATGATTATTAATTGTCGGCGTCGAATGCCCTGTACGGTAGCTTATCAGTTCCCTGACCTACGTTTTGCTTCCGCACGATTTGCTTGCCGACACATTTCCGATTCACACAACCTGCTGACCGACAGATTACTGACCGACAGCTCGCTTTTACCTAGACTATTTATTTTTGCTGCCCCACGTTGCGTTGTGCTGAAACTATTTTGTCGAGCGACAGTATGCTTATTGGTTCGATTTCTAGAATTCTTCGTTTTCCTTGTTTCCGATGTCTTCCTCTGCTTGGTGCATTTTGCACTGACTGTTGAATTAAGTTTTCATTTTGTTTTTGTTATGTTTCGCTAGGATTTATTTATTTCTTAAGTCAACAGATTGTCGCCAGCCATATGTCGGGGTTCATCAAGCCGTCGCAGCATCGTGTCGATCCCCCGGAACGGGATATGGACCTGGTGCACACCATGACAACACGTCTCTTTTGCAGTTGACCCTACCGAACTTTGTAGTGACAGACTGAGAGCGGACTCGAGGCCTTTTTCCAGTAGCTACAACTGTAAGTTGCTTAAAATTACTATGTTCATCAATCAGCATTGATAAGACTTGTCACCAACAAATGCCGCGGTGCTGCCGTCGATATAGGAAGGCTGTGTAGTTGACACTTGACAGTACGTTACAGACCTGTGCAGTTATGGAAAACTGACCCAGAGTTAGAGTTAGGAGTTACAGGGAGCGTGCGAGTTCGCTACGAGTTACGCTATTAATGTAAGTAAACCGAGTTTCGAGTTATTCAGCGAGTTACGCTACCATAGACAATACACACAATTTTTGAGCGAGTTACGCTAGAGTTAAGTTTTCGGGGAGACGAGTTACGCTTCAGAGTTACGTTACAACTCGATAACTCAAAAATAACTCGCGTTACGTTAAATAGTTAAAAATAACTGCACAGGTCTGGTACGTTATATTTACAGTTTTTTAGTTTTGAACTGGTAGAAGACGTGCGAACGCAGTTTCAGATGAGTTACTTGCGCCATGTGCTTTGACAAAAGTTAAGTAAGGTTAGTACGACTCGGCAACAATGTCTTGAAGTACGAAGAAAGATTAAAGGAATTAAAGTGGGACAATCTGAGTGTGCGTCGAATGAAAAAAGCACTTGTGTTCCTTTACAAGTTGGTGGTTCGCGTTGTCCCCTTGGGGGAAGAAATCGTACTTCCGTTTAACAGCCGAAATACGAACATTTCGGCTGCTGCGTTTGGGTGTGTTTCAGGCAACACGAGATTAGCCCAGCGCTTGAAAGATCACCCCTGCCCTATTAAACCGGCTCCGACAACCTTATGTGGAAAGACGGTGATCCCAGTCCATGATCCATCATACCTTTGCCACCTCACAGCCGTGTGGAATGAAATTAGCCTGAAACCAATCGCCTACACCACTTTGGAATCCTTCACCGCAGCACTGAAAACCATGGAATGGGAAAAGTTGCCATCCGTCAAAAAACTGTTTATGCAGCAACGTCGTTCTGTGAAAAAAACCTTGACTACCATGTGATGTAAAATGTTGTTACTTGTTGTGTTTCGTAATCTTTGTTATGTCTTGACATCGCTCTTATTACCTGCTATCTCAACGGTTGCGATTCAGTTGAAACCATATAGACGGCGATTACGCGCGTAAGTGTCCTTGCTTTCCCTTTTTCCACAGTTTTATTTTTGAACAACAATTTTGAAATTTTTCAGAAATTTGTAATTTAACAATTATCGTATGTGAGTTTTGGTTTTATGCATCGACCCCAGCGCGATCGCCTCCCACCCTTTTTCCACAGTAACATTAACGTATCGCAACCGTACGAATTACTTCATAGAAAGCATTCGCGTTTTTCTGTTTCCTGTACTGATGGTTGTTTGTTGTGCTTTGTTTATTTTGCATGTCGCCATAATAATATTCATGTTTTCATGGTACCACCTCTCCATGTTAGCGTCACTTTGTGGTGTTTTTTTCTTGTTGGTGTTCTTCTGTCTGAAGCCTAGAGGGGGCAACCGCTCCGTTGCAAGGACAATAAACTTCATTATTATTATAAGGCATCATTGTCGTTCGTCAAAGTATGTAAATTTAGCTCCAGTAGTGACAACAGGGTCAATGTATAACTTCCAGTTCCCGTACATCCTGCTGATATTTTCAGCATTCGCCGTCAGCGGAAGACGTCATGGTTGTCAACTTAGTATAAGTTATACCACATATAAAAATTCTGACGTACAAAAACCACGATAAGCGAACACCAGGAAACAGCGTTATATTACAACAAAGTACGCTGAGCTAAGAGCTTTCTGTGTACTCCTCATATGATCGGGACACCATTATTGTTTGCTGTAGGAGAGCTGACTGCATCCCGAGGATCATTCTAGCTGACTGCAGACCGAGCTATTAAAAACCGCGAAAGGTAATCAACGGCATCATGTTCCTGTGTGCGCAGCGCGTCGTTTGTTGCAGAATCGAAAAAGATTTACAAAAAGTATTCTGTATCAGTAGTACCAAAGTTTGCGTTGTAAACTAACCATGAATGCTGTTAACGGCCTTCTACAAAACTGCAGATCAGCAACGGTTCGCTAGTTATCGTGTTTGAAAAGAGAGTAGTGTCCAACTACAGTTATTGTTATGACCTTTTGATGTGATTTCCAGCAGATTGCTTGGCTGCTTAATTTCTCACCATGGCAAAACGAACCCTCCGCTATTACCTGCACAAAGGTGGCTCGTGGGCGGGCCAAGAAATTATTTCGGAATCCCTCGTTGTTCTGTGGTTCGCCATCCAACTCTCCATGAAATTTGGAATGCGTTCTTTTCCCCAGTGGCAAAGTAATCGAGTGGACCCTAACGCTCCAATGGGACTGGACAGAGTGATGGAGTTTTTTGGCTATGTAAGTGGCACTTTATTAATACTATTATTATTGCTCAGTTACAGTAGCAAGTTTTTTTTAAACGATACTCGTAGTAACCAGGTACTGGAAGAGCGTCTTTCAAAAATTTAAAAATTGTGCACGCTTTTTATTTGTATTTTTTTAGGATAAACTCATTGTCGCCAGTTATTTGACGCTGACCATATTACTACTTATTCAATAGCATAACCACGGCGTATCGTGTATATCCGTACGATTCCATACGCATCTATATTTCAAACGTGCCAACAACTCTTTCTTGCAGTGTTATAGCTGAATTTGTTCCTATTGTTGCTTAAAATCATTTAGTTTCTTGGTGAATCTGAAAAGCCAGATTCTGTTTTAAAAGATTTCTTGCCATATTTGGCGCGCCACAAAATACCGCGTAAAACTTACGCACTGTATTCATACATACCTATGTGGCAGCCTGTGTTGGGTTTTACGTATTACTAGCGGGCCGATTAGGTATTTTGTTTTCGGTAGGATATGAGCGGCTGCCCATGGGACAGTGTGATGTCGGCATGGAAATACCCTTCCGCTTCAACTATAACACCAGCAAACGCCTCCTCCAGCACGGCTATCCCAATCCGAGCCGTTGTGGGCTACATCGGCACGGTGGCCAGCGTCGGCGCCAGCGGCATCTTGGTGGCGCTCGTGTGCTGTTCGCTGTACGTCAACGCGTGCTGGGAACGTCCGGTCTGGCAGATTCACTTTCGTCACTGTCAACAGCTCACCGCGGTCTTCTGTTACACCGGATACGACATACCATCGTGCATTGGGACGGTGTTGCGCTATCTTCTGTTGCTGATTGGATTAGGTTGCACTGCAGCGTTGTGGTTACTGGTTTGTGCATTACCGGCCGTCCTCCTTGCGGTAGCCGTGCTAGCAATCGTGGCGAGCGCTGCGGGGACAGATGCTGTGTTTCCCTGTTGTGTCTTTGCAATATGCTTGTTGACAGTTAATTGTATCGGGAGATTGTGCGGACTGTGGATGGATAAACCGTACTGGGCTGTAATTTATAAGAAGCTGCGGTACTTATGATTAGCATTTGCTCGTTTCGTGCAGGGCAAGTTTCAGTTAACTTTTAAGGTTGTGTTTACTCACATTTTTCCAGGTTGTGGATTGACACGAACACGCAAACTCAACGAGCGCTATTCGTAAATTCTTCCATGGAATGTGTCTCTATTGCGGAGCCGGAAGTCGTGCAACCGAAGTGCTTTTGCTACCTGTTCTGTGGGAAATGTGCAATGTTTACACTGGGCTGCATGGTCGCCGTAGTTAACCTATACACGGTGCTTTTGGCGTTTCCTTGGTTTAAAACGCTCCCGCTGAAATCGATCTTCTGGACTGCGGGAATCGGGCCTAACCACTGCGGCAGCCATGCAACGGTATTCAGTACTAGCGCGCCCTCGTTCTGATTGTCGCTGGTTTACCGCTGCCCACTCACGGCCTGGAAAGAACACAAAACAAATTATTCTCCAATTCAACTGCACATTATTTGAATGAGACATACGAAAATTTGTTGGTTGCGCATTTTTCGCAAAGCCTAGGTCTTCCCTGTATTGGTTTTGGATTAGCTTGCATCCGCAACAGGATGTTTCTTTTACAGGGACTGAATTACATCGATGTGTGAGCGGGGGATTCACTGGCGTTCATGCCCGCAACGCTGCGCGCCGATGACGTGTCCGTGTTGTGTTGTGTTGCGCTCTGATTGGCTGACGGCAATAGCCGTCCATTGTGTTGTGTCTTGTGGGCAGGACTTAGCCCACGTGCGGAGCAGCGTTGAAATGGCTCTCCGATTGATGCTCGCGCTGTATCGCGGCAGTGTTGATTTTTCTGTTCTGCAGACTTGTCAATATTATTAAAGTCAGCAATTAGCGGTGCGACGTCTTGCGTTTCCGCATAGCTCGCTATACAGATCGCATTGCTCACTACGCGGAACTAGTTCTGTTCTAGTTGCCGTATCTGGATCACAGATGGATCTAGCATAATATGGTAGCAGAGCCGACAGCGGTTCTCTGATTTGAAGTGATTGATCTGATTTAATTTGATTTGTGTCAGGCATATTTGGCCTGTTATCTGACGTGTTATCCGTGACCAGTAAGGCACAGGTCAGTGTGACAGCAAAGTGCACACCACAAGCGGTGAATTTCCTCCATCGGACGCGGATTACCAGCTTTGGTTTTCGGTACAGCGTCTTCAGCGAAGACCTGTGCTGTTCCTCAGCTGTGAAAGAGTTCAAGAGTTCAGTTGACAGTGTTCCTCGGTGCAGAGTCTTCAGCGAAGACCTGCGCTGGTGTCACTGTTGCTCGGCAAGGATTCAGCGAATCCTAAGCCGTGGGCCACAAGCGGCGAAGCGCCAAAAGGGGTGCACGGGAAAAGACAGATCAGACTCCTCCAAACTGGTTGTAGAGCACTATCACTGTTGCTACGGCAGTCAGCCGGCACAGTAACTGACTAAAAGCGTGCGGCACAACCGTTACGGTAAAACCGGCGGCACCGCGGGAACGGAACGTGGAGAAGATTCTGGATCATTGGGATCATTTTCTCGTGGAAACGGACGGTTAACAGGTAGAAAACCGTTATTAATTACGGGATTGGTTAGTTGCTAAAATTTGGCAATTTTCATTGGTCTATACTGAGCTGAGTGTAGAAATAGGCGGAGTTTTGCACACGGTGCGCTAGTCTGGTCATTGACCGTGACGTCAGGTGGATATAAATTTTTAACGGACTACCATGATTGGTCGGCTATTTTAACTGTGATTGGTCGAAATTTGAACTGAATATTTTGAACTAGCAGACCAATAGGAATGGAGTAAACAACTTTATTGGGGATTTTCCATTGATCTGAACGAGAACTGAGAATTTTGAACTGAGACGAGTTATTTGAGCTGGGAAGTGACCTTTTGAGTTGAGATGAGTAGTAAAGTGACCTTTGAGATCAGAAAGTGACCTTTGACATTCGAAAGTGACCTTTACTAAAAAGTTCCAAGTGACCTAATTGACTTGAAAAGTGACCTTTTAAGATCTGAAAGTGACCAATGGTGACCTTTAACGAAACGAATTTAAGTTTCTGAATATTACAGTGATATCGACAGCTGTAGAATATCGTTTTCTGGATGTGTCCTAAATTGTAAAACGGGTTTCGAAGTTTTGCGGGAAAAGTGACCTTTAGGGCAAACCTCTCGAACTTTTTGTCCAAAAAGTGACTTTTAACAAGGACTTAGTCAAATTTTTTCAACCAAAAAGTGACCTTTACGAAGGACTTAGAAAAATTTTGCGAAGTAAAAGTGACCTTTAGGATCTTTGAACGTACCGTACTATAACACGTGTTCGAGATATATTGACAGGGACGTCCTGGTTATCCGATCATAATGGAAGACAAAGAGGAACCGACATCTACCGGCAGTCAGGGAAGCCGCGGCTCCCGGGGTTCACAGCAAGGCGCACCGAACCCGTACAAAAAGGATTTACACACATATTCACGTCCAGTTGGACATGAGCGGAACACTCGAGCGCCTAAGGCATTCGAGAAGAAGGATTCGCGAGGCTCTGATAGCACTTATCAGAAGGCGCTCGAGGCGGTCGCCAACCAGGAAAGCTCCAATGACGACCAGAAGCAGAAACATACCCCCGCGTCTGTGGCGGGAGATAGCAATGCGCATCACACAAAGGTCACAGAAGGAACTGAAGCAGTTGGCACATCACAGTCGGATGTAGCCGTCGCTAAAACGGATGAGCAGGATAAAGGGGTGACCCTGGCTCAAACGGAAGGTGGAAACACAAAGGTCACCGAGGATGAACTGAGGGAACTCGGATTGGATGACCTTTCACTCAACAATAAGACGGTTGGTGATGACCTTTGGGCGACTCCAATGGCATCGGATGAATCAAATGAATCATATTTCACGGACGATGAAACGACAATGAATATGTCCTTCCAAAACGCAATGAAAGAAGCCGACCGAGCAGAAGGGATGACCCCGTTTAAGGACATTCCAGAGCACCTCATTGAACGGACACAAACAGGAAAGGTCATCAACGTTCGATCACCTTCACCGAACAGTCCTACGTCAACTCTGAGGAGACGCGTCCAGGAATTGGAAAGCGAACTGAACACTAAGGAAGGTCAGGCAATTAAACGGAAAACAGAATACCAGGAGAGATTGGTATCATTCGAGACCCGCTTGTATGAATTGGAACTTCAAAAAGGTGACCTCGAGAGTGCAGCAGACGAATGGAAGGTTAAATACGAAAAACAGAAGGAACTAGCGGAGGAATATTTGAAAATGGCAGATGACAGAACAATGGAAGGTCATCTTGCCGTCAGTGACCTTAACGAAAGTATGTCAGAGGAATCGGCAGAAAGGTCACGGCACTTGGCAGAATTGATGGCTGAATGTGACCAGTTGCGTCAAAAGGTCACTGAAGCTGAAACTAAACGGGACGAGTACGCGACCAAATTCGCAGAGGTCACACAACGGTTGACAACATTGGCAACGGAGACGTTCAAGCTTAGGAACGACATGAAGCTACGGGAGGAAGCTATCAGTACTCTGCAACACGAATCGAAAGGTCATCAAGAACGCGCCGATGAGGCTGAGAAGTTGCGCAATGAGGCAATTAAAGCAATGCGCGAAGCGAGAAACATCACAGCGACAGAAGGAGAAAGATTGAAGGAAGAGATTAAAAAGGTCAATGATGAAAATGAAAAGGTCACCGCAGACATTCAAAAGGTCACCAAGGAGGGACTTAAGTGGCAAAATGAAGCACGACGACTGGACACAATGGTCACAGCGTTAGAACTGAAAGATAAGGAATCGCAACAGCAGGTGGCTCAAAGGAATCAGGAGATTACAAAGCTTAATACCGACCTGGTGGAAATGACCACCACAGCATTAGCGAAGGACGATGAGTTGATTGCGATCAAGAATCAACTGAGATCAGCAGCCGAAGAATACCAGAAACTCGAGGGGGATGTGAAACAGTTGACCGAACATATCAACAAAGCGCAAGAAGAAAACGCAAAAGTGGTACAAAGGGAGACTTTCAAATGGCAGGACCATACACGAAAGGTCAAGCAAGAGAATACGGAGTTGAAGTTAGAGCGAGATGACCTCCATTTGAAAGTTAGACGCCTCGAGGACGAAAACAAGGCGCTCCAGACGTCGAACAAGCATAAGGATGAGCAACTCCTGCAGCACGGAGTTAAAACGGCAACAGTGGAGTCTCCGCCGCCCAGTTACAGCAATGCGCATGAAACGGGCAAGAGCTACCACTTCGAGATGCCACTACGAACTGGCACTGGGAAAGGAAGTGTCAAAACGGAAAGAGATGGCGACAAGGCAAACGGGGATAAGGATCGGCTATCAGAAGGTCACAGTCGACCACCGATCTTCGACGGAACCTCACACTTTGCTCGTCACATGGAAACAAAGGTCATCGAAGATGAACAACGACGGGATGAACGACCCGCAGACAGGAGCAAGAAACACGATCTGAAAAGAAGGCAGCACGGCGTCGTCGATATAGCGATGACAGCAATAGCTCTAGTGACGAAGACAACAACCAGAAATCAGCAAGGGAATTGGCCAAGGCACTAAACTCCATGGCCCGGAAAACACCTCTTACGACCTTTGACGGAAGCCGTGACACTGTGAGTGGCTGGACACGACTGGTAAAAGAAACTCAAAGGACCTACCAGCTCACGGACGATCAAATTATGATCGAGATAGCCAGTGCGGTGAAAGGTCCTGCCAAAACTTGGTTCGAAGGAGAAAAGGACATTGCAGCAGAAGATGGAATCGAATATACAATCACTGAATGGATGGATAAATTCAAAGATGAATATGGCGACCGAGACGAAGAAGTCTTAGGCTTACGAGAGGCCTACGCAAGGAAATTCGAACTCGGGAAGGAATCGCTTGACCAGTATTACCAGGCGATGATGCGCTTCAAAGCAAAGAGAATCATCACTGAGAAGCAAGCAGTTGGCTTCTTAATTGAAGGATGCAGAGCGGACAATGAACTCTACAAGGCACTGCGTACACAAAAGTGCAAAACGCCAACTGATGTAAAGGACTTCTTCCGACACTGGGCAACTGGAGAGGAAAAATACAAGGCGCCTAAAGGTCAACGCAACCAGGAATATGTAACGATTCGCACAGGACCAGTTGAACCGGTGTCACAACAACGAAATGTAGCGGCACCAGTTCAGCAGACGGAATACCGCAGAGAAGCTCCGGTTCAGGAGGTCACCAGAGAAGTGACCTTTATTGACAGCCAGACGGGACAACCGATGACGTATGCCATGGTGGCTGCAATACAGGCAGCGGCCCAAGTGAGGCCAGTAGCCCAGAATGTGGCTCCACCGGTACCTCAGAATATGCCTCCCCTGAACGTAGGGGCACCGCAACAGGGTAACTTTGGCGGAAATGGATACGGAAATGGAAACCGGTACGGAGGTCAAGGAAACTTCCAGAACCAAGGTCAAGGTCAAGGCAACTTCCAGCCTAATAGAGGAAACCAGAACTACCAGCAAAACCAAGGGTCACGAACAGAATTCAAATTCCAGTTGATTGATGGATGGGTAGCGAACGGAGTGCAGATGTGCCAACACTGCATGTACGGCAATCATCAGACACAGGGATGCAAGTTCGCCAACACACCGCCAGACCAGAACCCGAACTTGTTCGCCTTTAATGAGTGGCAACGACTGCGCGGGATTGGCGGTTGGCGCCTAGCAGTGAATAACGGATATGACCTCATCGCCCAATGGTATCAGCACAAAGCAAATTTCCAAAACCAGCAAGGAAACGGGAACTATGGAAACGGAAACGGCGGTGGCCAGAATGGCGGCTACGGCCGCGGCGGCTTCAGAGGAAGGGGAAGAGGCTACGGCCGCGGAAATTACAACAATAACCGGGGTGGCGGCAATGGCGGCGGCCAAGGAAACTACCAACAGGGTGGTGGTGCCCCGAATAATGGCGGCGGACAGAACCCGGCAAATGACGGTGGAAATGTGCAGGGCGCGCAACAAGGAGGTGCGCCGGTTCAGGGAAACGGGCAAGATCAGTAGGCGCCGGTGAGCCTGCTGATCGCCCCGACCCTAAACCACCGGATAAAGGGGGAACGGAAAGGTCACCACTGCAGAATAGTACTGCAGTGAATGTGACCACTGCAACGGCTATACGGATGCCGTCAGCGAAAAGGAAAGTGGACCGGCTGTATGGATGCCGCAACCGAAAGCAACGGCTATAAGAATGCCGTCAGCGCAAAATGAAACGGCTATATGGATGCCGTCACAGCAAAAGGAAAATGGACCGGCTATATGGATGCCGCAACCGAAGGAAACGGCTAGATGGATGCCGTCAACGCAAAAGAGAAATGAAACGGCTATACGGATGCCGTTACAGCAGCAACAAGAACTGGTAATCGGGAAACCAGCACAAGTGGACAAAAGGTCACCGCAGAACGTCACTGCGAGTGGAAACGCGCAACGGGACCAAAGGTCACCGCAGAATGGTACTGCGAGTGGGAATTGTCGTGACGGTAGCGCGACACTGCAAAAAGTGCAGCAAAGTGAAAGGTCACCGTACTGCAGCGAGAAGGTGTTAGCGGAACGACGCGCATTACGGAATGCGAAGATTCAACAGGCGTTGCTGAATCAAAAGAAACCGCAGACTGACACCGCAGAAGAGGTGGAAGCACACCATGCGTGGTTCCGGAAAAACAGGGAAGAAAATGAAAAATTGAACGGACAAAGGTCACCACCGCTGAATGATACTGCGAAAGGACGACAACCGGAATTAGAGTCATGCTGCAACTGTTTCATAGTTGGAACGGAAAATACAGGGCTGAAGCCAAAGTTCTGCAAATGTTCGGAGAATGAAAGGTCACCTTCCGTGGGAAAAGTCCAAGTGAAAGGTCAAGGAGTTGGTGCAAACGCTAAAGGTCACGGCGACAGCGTCGCGGTAAAAGGTCAAGAAACGGACTTGACACTGCGAACAGCGCAGCAAAAGGATAGCGAACGGGCACAACAGGACTCCGACGACTCACTGGTGGATGCAGTAACGCTGCAACGGAAGGAAATATGGCAAAAAGTGGCCTACCGACCAAATGGGAATCACGGGATGTGGATACCCGTGACCCCAAAGGCGAAACAAAAAGGAGAATGTCGCAAGAGGATTACCGGGAGATGCAACAGTTACGCACACAAGGTGAAAAGAAAAGATTAGAGGAATGGGACATGCAACAGTTACACACGCAAAACGAAAGGAGAAGATTAGAAGAATTGGTTACCGGGAAACCAGTTCAAAGGTCACAGAACCCAGTCCCAGTGTTCAACGAAGCGGAATATAAGAAGACACTCGCTGACATGAAGGACCCACGGAATTCACCGCCAGAAGACAAACCGTCAAATTATGGAGAAAAGGTCCCATTACAGAAATTACCGAGTGGCGGATTTGTCATGAAGCGCAACGAAAGGTCATCGGACTTAGCGCAAAATGAACAAAAAGGAAGGTCATATGAGGTGGTGCAAGCTCAACGGAATAATGCAGTTGAAAGGTCACCAACGAAAAGTGAAGGGATGACTTCGCAAACAGAGTGGACGCGAATAAATAATGAAGCGACTCAAAAGGTTAATGACTGGATGACGGGTAACGATCGAAAGATGGTCGTCTACGAAAGGTCACCTGAAGAATTAAAAGATAGTGAAGAAGAGGAATTGACTCTCGCTGAACGAATAACCCGAGAAGTCTTGGAGAAATTGCGTGACAAGTCGAAAGATAAGCGGAAAGAAATGACACTGTACCAGACGATAACCGAAGTGACTAAAGGTCACAGCGCTTACACTTCACCGGATGGGCAAAAGTGCAACACTGGAAAGGTCACCAGTGCCGAGTCAAAAGTAAGGAACAAGACTCGAGAGTTTTATGATGTCCGGACTAAAGTGCCACACAGAATCGATAAACTGAGTGAGATACTGAAAGATCATGGCACTTCAACGAAAGGGCAAATAATTCCCGATATGGATCCGGGACCAGTATCATTAATCCCAGTGAAATGTACTATCCGAAACTTGAAGATTCAAAACGGAAGATTGCCCAAGCGAATTGAAGCTAACACACACGAAGTAAAAGTTGGGGACATAAAGGTCACCGCAATGCTGGATACTGGAGCTGAAACGTCGCTAATTAGTAAACCGTTTTGTGAGAAGAATGGACTTCATATGCTTCCATTGCCACCTGACAGACTTGTAAGGATTAACGGAATCAGTGGAACGTCGGGATTCGTGGTCACGCATTACTGCACAGCACCAGTGACCTTAAGGAGAAAGACTAGTGAACACTCCTTCTACGTGCGACCGAAATGTGACGACGTACAGGTGCTACTGGGATTCGACTTCTTAGAGAAGAAGTTCGTACTGATCGATAATGAAGGTGAAGAGGAGAAAGAAGATGACCAGAAACCAGTTGTCAAAGTTCAAGTCGGAAAGGTCACCGAACTTGTGAAAACCGATAAAAGGCTAATCCCAGTACCAGAGCCACAGGGAACGAAACCGAAAGAATTGTCGGTATTCGAACAAATGAAGATGATCCAGCAGGAAATCGAAAACACGCTGAAACGATCAGTGCTGTCACAAAAGGGAAGAGAAAAGGTCATCCCGGTACCAGAGGCACCGAGAATGACAGAGGTGCAACAGAAAGGGGTAAAAGCGCAGCAAGAAGAAATCCCGGTACCAGAGGCACCGGAGAAAGGAAATGGAAAGGAAAGTGGTGAAAAAGTTATCCCAGTACCAGAGGCACTGGGAACCGAAAATGAAAGGTCACCAACACTTGAAGAAATTGCAGCCATACAGAAGGAGGCGGTAGTCGCAGCGAAAGAATCGCTCGTGCCAGGCTTGGAGTGGTCAAAGCCTATCCCAGTACCAGAGGCACCGGGAGTAAAAAGTGTCAAAGTCCGGAAAACCAAAAAGATGGAAGTCCCATTGGAGATATTGAAACGGATAACTGAAGAAGAACAGATGTTCGCAAGCGAAATTCGCGGCAAAGCGATTGAACAGCTGAAAGGTCATCAGAAGAAAACGGCACCAGAGGTCATCGAAATATCCTCAGATGAAGAGAGTGTGATAATAATTGAACGTGAGCACAGCGCCACAAAACGAAAAGATGTAAAGGTCAAACCGCCAACGGATAGAATCCTAACTCCAGAAGAAAGAGCCGGGAGTTGCCATCATGGTTACTATGAGGACCCGCGCAGAATACAACCGCAAGGGGAATGCACTAAATGTAGCCGGGTTGCATCCCAAGATGACCTTTCAGAATGGCCAAAATGTAACGCAGCGATAGCAGACCTTAAAGGTCATGTCCCGAAAGAAGTGCGAAGTATCTTACGGACAGTGAGCATGTGTAATCCACACATCGAGCGATATCATTGGAATAGATACCGGACGTGGCTATCATGCGTCAGGAACTTCATATATGGAAGGGGAAAGTGGTTGCACTATTGGGAAAAGTGCGCGGATAAAGGTATCCAGGATCCTCACGAAGTGTTATTGTCAAAACGGAAACTTGAAATTGAAACCGAAGAAATGAACGAAGAGATCAAATTATGGGAAGACGCGAGAATAGAGTTATTCTGGGACTTCCGCATTAATCATATGTACAAAGGTCAAGGGAAAACGATTACCTTCCGATCAGGACTCGGCACACCAGTTTATGAGTCAGTTGAACAATTCTGTAAGGCACTTCACCACGACGACGCGGATATATTTGAAGCGTATTGGAAGAAGTTCGAAGATGAAATTCCTAAATTTGACGTTAAAGAAATGCGGGAGTTACAAGTGACTCGAAAAAGAAGAGAAGTGGGTTTCATGATAAAAAAGAAAGTGACCTTTGCACCAGACCCTGACGGAGTTGAATACCCGGAACGCGGTGGTGATACGTGGTGCATGTATGAAACGATTCCAAGCGATGATTGGATCACCGAAGAGCTGATGGCAAATTGCGTCTTCGTTGGTCCTAAACGACCTAAAGGTTACGAAACGGTTCAAAAAGATAAGGCAGATGAAGAGTCTGCAAAAGAAGCGGACAAAGAGAAACTGCCAACAGAAGCAGCTGAACAGGAATCGAGTGCAACTGAAGAACGATCCCCAAATGCTTTTGAAATGGCACAAATGTTGACCGATAGGGGAGCAATGTGGAAAAAGTTCCAAGAGGAAGTGGAAAGGTTATCGAATGGACTACAGATCCCAGTACCTGAGGCAAAAAACGAGGAAAGGTCACTCGATAACGGTGAAGAATGTCTGCCGGTTGGTCAGACCAAAAGGTCATTAATGAGCCTCGAAGAGATTGATGAATTGGAAGGCTCAAAACAGAATGAAGAAAGGTCAAATTTGGATGAAACAAAAAGGTCATCGGCAAAAATACGAGTGGCACGGAGTCACCCGAGAATCGCCGCACGATATGGAAAGAAGACGAAGGAAACGGGCAAACCTCTGCTCAAAAACCTGAAAGCGAAAAAACTTAGCGATTTGCAGGAAAACGAGAGTGACCTTTCATCGGGAGATGAAGGAGTTGATGAACGCCCACTTGAAAGACTTGACAAAGGTCAAGTAACTGCACAAGAAGGCAGGAGCAGTGACTCTGACTCGGAATGGACGAGTTCAAGTGATAATTCAACGACTTCAGAAGATTCAGGTGTAAATGACCTTTCCGAGCAAGAAGACTTGCTGGACTTGGACGAAGACGATGAAGTTGATGAAGAAAAAGAACAAGATATTAAAGTCAGAAGGGTCAAAATTCAGCGAACGAGACTGGATAAGGGTGTAATCAGAGTTTATAGCGACCAGCAAATCAAGCTGAAACCGTCAATTTGCACACGAGTAAAGATCAAGATGGGCAGATATGCACCAGCCTCAACAAAATTGATGTTCACACCGGTGCTGCAAGCTGAAACTGAGGTGCAACCATTAGCAGGAGTGACGGAACACCGAGGAAAATTCTTCGAGCTGGTCATCGCGAATCATAGTAGTAAAAGGTTAACAGTAAAGAAGAATCAGCTTCTCGGCTACGTGGTGCCTTACGAGCACATGGAAAGTGTAAAGGTCAACACGGGGACAGTAAAGAACGTGTTGGATGACCCCGAGGTGGATGACATAACGAAAGCGGAATTGACAAAGATTATCGGGAACTTGAAATTGGGACCTGACCTTACAGAGGAACAGAAGAATGACGTGTACAACGCGTTCTGGGAATTCTGGAAAGTCTTACCGACTTCCAAGAAACCGTACGGAGACGTGAAAGGAATCACTCATGTAATTGATACGGGAGATGCCAGACCAGTGAAATGTAACCCGGCCAGAACGAGTTGGACAGGCCGAGAGTTCATAACAAAGCACATTGAGGAGATGTTGGCGCAAGATGTGATTGAACCGTCAGACGCCGACTGGAGTTTTCCAGTCGTGCTGGCAGCCAAAAAGAATGGCGACGGAACGATGGGAACAAGATTCTGCGTCAACTACATCATGCTGAATAAATTAACGAAGAAGAATAACTATCCGTTACCGAATCCAGATGAGTTGCTAGATGCATGCGCAGGCAACAAATATTACGGCAAAATGGACTTACAAAGTGGTTTCTGGCAAATTCCAATGGATCCGGACTCAATCAATAAGACGACCTTTGTAACTCAAGACGGAATGTTTCGGTTTAAAAGAATGCCGTTTGGAGTTTGTAACGGACCAGCAACATTTCAATTGTGTATGGATAAAGTACTGTCGAAAGCGAAAAGAAAGGGTTGCGTTTTCGGGTACATTGACGACGTTATCTTCGCTGGAAAGACTTGGGAAATCTTCATGCAAAATATGAGAAACGTCCTCCAGAGTTTGGTCGAAGCGGGATTCACGATCAAGCCAACGAAATGTGAATTCGGCATGAAAGAAATGGGATTCCTGGGTCACATACTCAGCGAAGATGGAATTCGAATGGACCCTGAAAAGGTCACCGCAGTCTCGGAATTCAAACGACCTCAAACAGAAAGGCAGTTAAGGTCATTCCTTGGACTGGCGAACTATTACCGCAAGTTCATAATGGGATATGTGCAGAAGACGTGTCATTTATACGAATTGCTGAGACAAGATAAGCAAGTGAAAAAGGACTGGAATAAAGTACATGAAGACGAATTCAACAGTCTGAAACAGTTATTATGTGAAGGCCCAGTATTGGCGAAGTTTGACCCGGCAAAGCCAACTGTCATTGAATGCGACGCGAGTAAAGAAGGAATCGGAGCAGTGTTGTCTCAAGATGGACACCCGATCGCGTACGCAAGTCGCGTCTTACATGGAGCGGAAAGGAGTTACGGTGTAACCGAATGGGAATGTCTGGCAGTCGTGTTTGCTGTCAGAAAATTCAAGCCGTTTATTGATTACGCGGAATTCACCGTAAGGACGGATCACCAGGCACTGACCAACTTGTTAAGGTCAGAAACGAATAAAGTTGGAATGAACCCGCGTCTGACGAGATGGGCTATGGCGTTACAAGGTCACCAGTTTAAAATTGAATACAAGCCGGGAAAGTACTGTGACAACGCAGATGCACTTTCAAGAGCGCCAATCGAAGGTCCAACATGCCAGGAGGAAGAATTCGATGAAATCCCTAACTTCGAAGATTATAAAAAGGAATTCGATACGAAAGAACCAGCGATTGAAATTGGACAGTTGTTTCTACAAATGGTTGAACAGAGAGAAAAACGTCTAAAGGTCAGTTCGGCTACGGCGAAGGAGTCGGCTGATAACGGCGTAAATATGAACCGTGTTAAAAGTTGGTTGCCTACCGATAGTGACTTAAAGGTCACCGGACTTGGAGCGGAATCTGAAGCTCAGAATGGAAAGGTCACCGGACTTGGTGCATCAGTAGAGAAACAAGATGACCTTTGGGAAACGGACAAAGTGGTTCAAGCGTTAAATGAATGTCCGATTAAGCTGTTGAGATTCCCGAAACAGATGAAAAAGAGGTATAAACCTTTGCCTCGGTGTAAGGTCATCCGAGATTGGAATGAACTTAGTACGGCGACAGTCCGCATTGTGAATCTCCAAGGTGACGAAGAAGAGGAAGATGACTCGAATTTGCAATTGCGGAACAAACAGCTGAAAGATCCCCATCTGGCAATGATAATTGATGAACTGGAACATTTACCAGACGCTGAAACCAGATCGAAATTCGAAGTTCACTACCAATTGTGGAATGGCATACTTTACCGAGTAAAGGATAAAAATGGGAAACTTGAAAGGTCATATGTCGTACCGCTGTCAATGCGAAGGGCGATAATTCACGCATTGCATGATGAGAAGGCGGCAGGACATCTGGGATTTGAAAAGACATTGTCAGCAATCAGATTACGATATTACTGGGATCGTATGAGTACAGATGTGAAGAATTATATACTTGCCTGCCAAGGATGCCAGTTTCGCAAGACACCAAGAAAGTGCCCACCGGGAAAACTGCAAGAAATAAAAGTTGGACATCCATTCTTCCGAGTTTACGCGGATTTGAAAGGACCGTTGTTACCGACGAAGAATCGGGGATACAAATACATAGCGGTGTTCATCGACCAGTTAACGAAGTACGTGATTGCAGTACCGATGAAAACGGCAACGGCTAAAGAGTTCGCAAAAGTGTTCGTCAAGCACGTGATATTGGTACACGGAGCACCTCACATCCTACATACGGATCGGGGACGGCACTTTACAGCCGAAGTGTTGACAAAGGCCACCAACGTGTTCAAGATTAAACACACGTTTGGAACTGCATATCACCCAGAAGGTCAAGGCCAAGTGGAACGACAGATGCAAACGATTGCGGACGGCCTGGCACAGTACTTGAAGGCTGGAAATGAAAGAAAGTTTAACAAGTACCTTCCATACGTCATTTCGGCAATGAATAGAGCCGTACATGCTACAACGGGTTATTCAGCATTTTACATGTTACACGGCAGAGAAATGACCATGCCGGAAGATGTGGTAACAAAAACGAACGTGCCGGATGATTATGGGACTCCAGACGAATGGGTGGAGACCATGAAAAAGAACTTGACCTTTGCCGAAGAAGTGGCGAAATGTAATATTAAAGACGCATATGAGAGGAATGCAGAAATCTACAATAAGAAGAAATCGGAACCGAATTTCAAAGTGGGTGACCGTGTACTGATCCGACTTCCGAAAGACACGAAACAAGGGAAGAAAGAAAATCAATCGGACTTTAAGTCGAAATACGACAAAGTGTGGAAGATTCTCAGTTTTCCAAGAGCAAATGAAGCGGAGGTCATTGAACAGAATCCAAAGAAGGAAGCGGACTTAAAGGTCGTATCAATTGACCGACTGAAACCGTGGCATCCGCCATTACCGGTAGAAATAGCAAAGCGCACTTCCCAAAAAGACTTGGAACTGCCTTTCCCCGAACCGGGCTCTGAGGTAGCAGAACATGCCCCTCAAAATGAATCCTTTTTCGAACCACCTCTGCTACCCGAAATGGATGCAACCGATACAACACAAAATCCGAATAAACCGAAGAAGAAAAGAGGAAGACCAAGGAAAGAAGATAAGGATTTTGAAACGGCAGTCACAAAAAAGTTGAACGCAGAAGCCGGAAACCTGGCAGACAAGAATGAGGTACCAGAGCGTCCTCCAAAAAGAGACTCAGACCAGCCTCTTTTCGAACCACGCCCTGCTACCATAGAAGAAAGTGACCTTTTGAAAGACAAATCGAACGTCGACGTAATAGCAGACCGTATTTCTCATAACTTTTTCGAACCACGCACTGGTACCGATAATGTCCTCACAAAAACGAGAGCAGAAGAAATGGAAACGGTCAAAATGAAAGCTGATCAATTAGGCCGCGATATAGCAAAGGCCATTGAAGAACAAAAGGTCAAACAGAAGAAAAAGAGACCAACTCCCACGGAACTATTAACTCAGAAGGGTGAATTTGAAGACGCCGCCGATAAAGAACTATTTGATCGGATAACTAAAGGACGCAAAGACATTAATCCGAAAATAAGATTAACAGGCGTTTACGATATTAAGAACGGGAGTTGGGAAGGTGTAAAGGTCATCCGCCGCAAACCAGCCAATCGGTATCGGTTTCGTTGGTAATGGAAAGGTCACCAGACTCGGACAAAATGACCTCAAGTTGAAAGGTCACTAGAATCTGACTGCAGTTCAAATGGAAACGTCAGAAAGGTCAAGAGAGTTTGGAAAACGCGGTAAAAGTAAAGGTCATCAGACTCGGACTGAATCATACGGGAGAATTGAAAGGTCAATCGAAAGGTCAAGATACTCTGACCAAAATTCTAATGGAATACCGCAAAGGTCACGAGAGTCCGGAATCAGCAGGAAGGTCGAAAGGTGCTCAAAGTCGTCAGAACGGTCACCATAAAGGTCATCAAGGACGAAAGGTCATCGGAAATTGTCGTCCAGTCGAGAGGTCATCGGACTCTAACTAAGCACAAAAAGAAGTAAAAACGTCGACTGAAGCCTAAAAGGAAGTGAAAGGTCAAGTAAATGGTCAAGTGACGGAAGAAGTGCGGTCACGTGCCTGAACAATCAAAAGGTCAAGCGACAGATGAACCAAAGGGTCAACTCGACGGACAGACTGAAAGGTCAAGAGACTTCACATCAGAAAGAGAATTCTGATGAACCGAAATCGGCTCAATCATCGTCAGGATAATTGGCAAAGTTAACAATTGACGAAAGACAGAAAGGCCAAGAAGCAGAGCCCGCGGACTCGACATCCCCCCAGAAACCGGAAACCAGCGGCACACAAGCGAAAGATGTGCCAGATTACATGCTCGGGGCACCATTGAGTGATAACAACAGAACATGGCGAGAAACCAGTAGTGCTTTCGAAGGCAAGATGAAGGCGTGTAAGATGGACATAACTGAAGGGACAATATATAGTAATATCGGCGGAACAAACGCAGTGACATTGAATGACCTTTTTGAACTGCATGTCGATCTCAAAATGTTCAAACTGAATATCAGAAAGGATGGGGAATGGATCAAAAAAACTGCTGAATGTTCTAATTTCGACGCAGCGCTTGAACTTAGCTTAAACGTCAAAACGTGAAAGGTCACCGAGTTAGAATGAAGATATTGACCTTAATGATGAAACGTAAAAGGTCATCACGTTAAAGTAACCAAAGGTCATCAGAAGAGAATACGATGGTTGAGTATCAAAGATCACGTAACGTATCAACATAAACTGTACTTGTGTATTGTGGCTTTCAGCGTTTATAGCACAGAATCCCAAGGGATAAAGAAATCATGTGGAGCATCGATGGGGTTGAAATTGATTCGGTCTGTAAAGCCGGCCCCAATGCAGAAGCTACGGCACTTAGCCGGCTCTCCCCTTTAAGCGATTCAGTGTTATAAATTCGCAAGAGAAACTACGGTAACCAAGCCGGATCTCTTGAACACGAAACGGGGCCACAAGCGGCGAAAAAGAGAAAGACAACAGGTGGAATGTTAATGGGGTAAACTTAATGCGGCAGCCAGCCGGCCTCATTAGAGTTGCTACGGTAAAATATGCCGGCCATCTCTCCAAGCGATTCAGTGTCAGAACTTAACGAGAGAAACTACGGACATTATACCGGATCTCTCGAGACAAAGATGGGCCACAAGCGGCGAACAAGAGTAAAAGATTGAATGTGGAAGCGTCATGGGGTAAATTCAATGCGGTAACTAGCCGGCCCCATCGGAGATGCAACGGTAAAACCATGCCGGCACTCTGGCCGCTCGAGGCATACTGAAGTTGGATGTGCGACGGAAAGGTCATGTTGAAAGTTTAACCAGGGAGGCAAGCGAAAAAACGCTTGAAAGTCGTCAAAAATCGGCTAAGTTCCTCCATGACCTTTGCTGAAGTTTTGAAGAAGTTGAATGACCTTTGGGATCATTACTGCCCAACAGAGTCATAAATATGTAATCGAAGTCGCATGACCTTTTGGAACCATTGCCCAAATGAGTCGCACATCCCGGATCATCTTTACAATGGATGACCTTTACCAGGGAGGAAGCGAATCACGCTTGTCTTCAATGACGTCCCTCCATGACCTTTATGGATCTCAGTATTAAGTCGTACGTTTGATACGCACCAAAATCCAAAGATGAAGCAGTATTCCTAAGTCGTACTTGATACGCACCGAATTCTCAAGCGGATCTCATGTGATGGAAAGTCGCATTATAAATGCGCGCTCAAGCGGAATTGCTCAACAGAGCGGAATGGGCCAAAGTGCGGAATAACGGTGGACAGGACCAGTGACCTTTACGAGTCAACGGAGGATCCTAGTCTACATTTGATTAAACTTCTGTTGATCTGTTTCTGTTGATTTGATAGTATTTTTATAAATAGATCTCTTTATTCACATCGTGTTTATGAGAAATTGTACTTAATGGAATCTGATGTGATAAAATGGACTAAGAGATTCGATGTTTTTATTAGCAGACCAGCACACACAGCACAGTCGCGACCTTCGTCTTTTTCGTGGATTTGGAGGATGTTGAGCCTCAACGGAGCTCGGCCTCCCCCCAGAGGCATGTGAGCGGGGGATTCACTGGCGTTCATGCCCGCAACGCTGCGCGCCGATGACGTGTCCGTGTTGTGTTGTGTTGCGCTCTGATTGGCTGACGGCAATAGCCGTCCATTGTGTTGTGTCTTGTGGGCAGGACTTAGCCCACGTGCGGAGCAGCGTTGAAATGGCTCTCCGATTGATGCTCGCGCTGTATCGCGGCAGTGTTGATTTTTCTGTTCTGCAGACTTGTCAATATTATTAAAGTCAGCAATTAGCGGTGCGACGTCTTGCGTTTCCGCATAGCTCGCTATACAGATCGCATTGCTCACTACGCGGAACTAGTTCTGTTCTAGTTGCCGTATCTGGATCACAGATGGATCTAGCATAATAGATGCGATGATGGCACCCTGGAAGGAGAATGTAAGCTCACTTTTGTCTCCCAGAAATCAATCCGAGATCACATCCTGGTTCTTCTTACAGTTTGTGGAAGTCATCCTGGGGATCGAATGTCTAGCCGTTTATTTCGTGGGTGTCCTGGTAGTGCTGATTTTTACTGTTGGTCGCTACGGTTGGCGCTTTCTCGGCTACCTGAAGGAATGCTTCTTCAATGACAACACCGTGGAGCACAGTACTGAAAGGTGCGGTAAATCTGCGGTTTCAAGCTTCTTTCTTAAATTATGCAAAATTTGTAGTCAGCAGTATCTGACCTGTAGACTTGTTCTTATATTCCTCTTAGGTTTTCTTTGAGTCTTAGACTCAAAAACTGAATAATAAGAAAAGAAAGCAGTACAAGTATTACATAATCATGTGCTGAACATCGGCTCGTCGTCTTGCCGTCAGTAATTCTAACGAGGATTGTCTGATCGGCAGGGTGCATTCCTGCGCATGTTACCAACTGGGAAACGCAGTACTGGACAGTCTGGTAATCCTTCGCTGTGTCGGCTGCTGGATGTTTTTGTCGTTTCCGTTAACCGAATTCCTTTTTCCCGAGAGTCTGCAATTGCCGATATTGGCGAACGTCCAGCTGGTATATTTATTTATGCAGTTCTGCTGGTTATTTGACGACATCGGGGAGAAACAGCAGATGACGGAATTAACCCTTGACGCCGTTACGACAAAGTCTGCTGCAGTGAGCGATAGTTTGGCCAAAGAGACGACCGGTGTCAAAAACACCGAATGCGCGACGTGTTCCCAGTGCGGGTTCACCATGAACCCGTGCCGGGACGTGGATAGTAAGGCAAAAACTGCTGAGAATACCGCTGATGCAAGGGATTCAGTGGAGGAGGTCATACAACAAAAAACCTCGGAGGCGGCTTTAATTATTCCTTTGTGACGTAATCCCCAACGTAATCATTTTATTATTCCCTACGTAATCATTTTGCTGTATTTTAATCGTGTACAAAATCTGATGGCTTGTTTCGATTTAGTTATGGCTTTGTCACTTAAACGAGTTCATGTTTGCAGTTTCGGTTAGGTGCAAAATATCTCATTACTGTAAGTTATTACAGCAACCGTATTTCAAGGTATGGAACTGTCTGTCCTTAACCGATAAATATTTTCGTAATGATTTTTAACTTTATAATTTTTATGGCACTGGAAAATCCACAGTTTCTAGAGTACTTAAAAAATATTTCAAGAACTGTCTCGTCCGGGATGTTGTCCGATATCGTGGTACACGGTCACTACGTTGACCTTGATTGAATTGTAAATATTCGGTTAACTTAGCAGTCAACTGTGGCTAGTCGCACTAATAAGCAGCTGCGAAGCACAAGTGAACTGTCGCTGACCGGACGGCCAACAGCCGCCAACTACTGTAGCCGCGGGATATGATTGCACCACAAAGTCTGGTATACCGAAATCGTCGCACACGCTGCAAATTCTACGTTAGATGTTCTCTGTCCGGCTGGGGGCAGTCAGCGGCCAGAGCTAGTAGTCTTGCCATAGGTTGAAATAGTGTGTGTTATTACACAGTTTGTGTATTATTAAATGTGTTTTGTGTATTTTTAAAGTCTCAAATGTGCAACATTAAAACAGTTGAAATTCGTTAAGAAAACGTTAGAGAGAATCTGCCGAATAAAACAATTCCATTAAGTCAGTATTTTTAATGAAAGTTCTTCGTTTTTTAAGGCAAAATCTGCCGTTGGCTTCGCGCTTTGCGCGAAACTGATACCATTATTCAACATTTTGTTACTGTGGTCATCGTGCACTAAAGACGCCCCAAAGAACCCTCAAACTACAGTAATACTAGGAAAATGCACTTGCGCGTGCATTGGTAGACCGGAGCGCAGCTTAGTTTTACACGGTAGAAACTTTATTATCTAAATTTATTCATGCAAATTGGAAGCATCAACTCATTCGTGCTAATGTATTGTAAAAGTACACGCAATAGTAAACTTCATCGCAGCCGCAGTAAACGCTCCTCTTCCTTGATTCGCTGGAGCGTTGCCTTTTTTGTCTTGATGCCCGATAGGAGCGAAAAAGGAAACGTTGGCTCCAGAGCTAAACCCTTCCATGATTTGACTCGGGAAAGGGCTACGTAGATTAAACCCGATGCAAATTCCCGCAGACCGAGATGGATAACGGCCCTATCGCAAGTGATGCCCTGTGCTTTATGGACAGTAATCGCCCACGATAGTGCTAGCGGAAATTGTGTGCGCAGACACTTGTGACCACCCTCAATCCATTCTGACGTAATTGGGCAAATGGGTATGCAGTTGTTGGCAAAAGTCGGGCCCTTACACTTGTCAAATTCTACAAGTACTGCAAGCGGCATGGCGTTTTCTGGAGATGTGCCCGGCGTATAGCTAATATCTCGAACGAAACCCAGCGCTCCGTTGACCAACCCTCTATGCGCCCATAAGTTCCGCTTCAACATTACCCGTGATCCTCTTGATAAATAGAGAACCGGCTCCAGGCCCATGGCCTGTTGGTCGTTACCTTCACGAAACCAGAAATGCATGAAGCGACGGAAATATAGGGATGTTTAGCAATAAGTTGTGTTGTTACCTCTGGCAGCGGTTGGGGTGTTGTGTTTCGCTTTAATTTTCGCTACGGGCATTTTGAGATCCGTTAGGGCTTTAATGTTGTACTGGCGTGCTGGCTCTCTTTCAGTAAAAAGCCTGATGGCACTTTTGAAGTTATCGCGCTCATCTTCTTGAAGTAGGCCATAATTGCGAGGTCATAATCCATTCTCTTGTCATAAAAGCCTGATGGCACTTTTGTCGCTCACGTGAGATGTCCAGTAAAGTGAACGCTGATAGTGCTCTAAAATGCTGCTGCTCAGGTTCGCTTCCGCTTTGTCGTTGTGATGTGGTAAATATGAATGCCTTGGTGAATGCTGATCGGTAAATAAGCTGCCCGTGGTCAGCCAGTTCACTTCTAAACCCATCACCGTACAGTGGACGGTCCAAAACCGGTGGCAACTGTTTAATATCTCCAAAGAGATAAACGATTAAACCACCAAACGGTAGATGCCCTTGATCAGGTTTTGCTTGTCGCAGCCGCTTGTCAACTTTTCCAAGTAAAGTGCAGCCAATAAGACTGAATTCATCAATGAGAATTACTTTTACGTCTTCCATTTCTTCCTGAAAACGATGTAGTTCATCGCCTTCAAGTTCGCGAAAAGCGCGATTCACTGGAACTCGCAGCTTGGAATGAATGGTCAAACCATTTATGTTATCAGCGGCAACTCCTGTCGGTCCAAGGAGAAGATAAGAAGTATTTCCGTACTGCTGAGTCGAGCACAATAAGCTTTGCATAGATTGCAAAAGTACTGATTTTCCGCTGCCCGCTTTTCCTTGGACGACACAACATCTATCGCGAACTTCCCCTGTAAGTTGTAGTCGGAAGAATTCCAAAGCATTTCGCTGCTCTACGGACAAGGTAACAGCGGGCATGGCAGAGCATAGCTGGACTGGCTACAGATCCCGTTCAAGTCAGTTGGTTTTTGGCTGACGTGTAAACGCGGTGCGCGTTCAGATTTCGGTATTAAAGCCTACAACCGGGTTTGCTTTTGTTCCACAGACAGCGCGACAGAAGCGATTTCGCACCGTCGAGGGTCATGTACGTTTAGCCAGCGCCTGTGACACGCGAAAATATCCTTTAAACTTGGAAAGTACGCTCCTTGAATTACATACTTTCCCAATTTATAGGAGATTTTCGCGGTTTCCTGGGATGATCCTAGCACGGAAAAGATCAGGGCAATATGTACAGCCTCGTACAGCCACGAAGTAATAATTCCCTTATCTCTCCTTAGATACTCCTCCTTGCAGATGCTCAACTTTTCCCTCCAAATGAATTACCTATCAATAGGAGCGATTCAAGGAAGAATATTTGGCAGAAAGGTAACATTGTCGTGAAATGCGTCGATTTCTGAAACGTATCGTTGTTTACCTTGTCCAGAACCCTGTTTTCCTTCACGGTAATTGGACGATATGGTCAACTGGTCATCATCATTTTACTCGTAATTATTGCCGGCACGAGAAGCTTCCTGAATCGATAGAACGCACATCAAGATAACGGATAGGAAAACGATAATCAGCTTCGACATGGTGGAGAAAATGTCTGACACTCCGGGAATAAAAACAGTTGTCGTAGATAATCAGAGTTGGCAAAGAAATGCGTGGAGTATATCTGCTTTATATACAGATCTTTACCTGTCACCTTATCTCTGCTGTCTGCCACTATGTGTTAGCAGTAGCAAGTGGACAAATAGAAAAGTCTGTTAGTTGTCCTTTATTGATCGAACTCGTGAATTATCTTACACCCGTTTGGTACTTAGCTTGAACTGTATAAGTTGAGTGCGATCTGTCAGTACCGCTCTGCAACATTGCAGATTCACCAGCTTTTCTGAGCAAATATTTACAGATTTCGTGATAGTCGCGCATGGTGGCCACAATATGGACTGAACGGAAAGTCTTAACAATGCCCCAATATTCAGGAAAACAGATAAAGTATTGTATGAAATCTTCCGCAATAAATTAATCACATTCTCGATGGACAAACCGATCAGGAAGTATGCACCCACCACGCTGTATAATCTTAATTAATGTGTTGCTACTCATGTATCTTTTACCATGGCGAGAGAGCAAAGTGGGCATGCGGAAGTTCTCGGCTGGGAATCGTAGAAGCTCCGGCTGCGCACCTGGTGTGTACGCGCTTGCGTACCTGGTATGTGCGCGCCTGCGCACTTGGTGTGTGCGCGCTTGCCGGTTAAAGCATTAAACCTTTGTTTGAACAATTTATTCCCAGTTTACACTGCAATTTCAGTTTTTAAAGAAAAGCATACAAACTTTAACGATTCTGGGCAAAGACTAGACCTTTATCACACTTCGTTAAACTTCGGAGAAAGTTTAGTGCTTTCTTTACTTTAGCCCACGCGGGCTTGCCATACAAAACAGCCTATGCCAAACTCCGCTATATGCACAAAACATTGCGATAACCCGGCAAGCGAAACTGCGCACTTGACGCCCACCTATTCACAGACCGCATTAAGCTTTACTTGATGCAAAATTAAATAACTTGAAAAATATGTGCGTAAATTAAATCTTAATATCGGTTTACTGCCGCTGCGGGCATTGAGTTAGTGCCAATTCACCAGTTAAAATGTTACAATTTCAGGTCTAAATAACTTTTTGTCATGCTCTTTTAGATTGAAATATTTGATAGTTGATAAAATTCAGTTTTCATATCGCGAGAGCACTAGACTGAACTAGTCAAAATGTCATTAGTGACACGGCTCAACCTGTGAGATGCAGCGCAGAACTGCATGTGGTCACTTTGTCGTTATGTCACTAATGACGTAGTGACATCACCTATCGCCGGTACTTGCGTACTGCAGATACCAGTCTGACCAATAGCGGTACTTGTGCATTTCCCATTATGTCACTGATGACACAATGACAACATTTGCGGCCATTTGTTCTGGATCAGTGTGGCACTTAGCCGGGTGACCTGTGATAGTATCCAGTCATTGTGTCACTACTGACATAATGACACCAGATACGGCAGCTCGCTCCTTTATAGCATGTAACTAGTTGCCCCAGTGTGCAGCCCGGTTTGTCATTGTGTCATTAATGACATAATGACACTACTTACTTAACACTGGTGGTCGAAGTTTAATATTTTTTGGGCCAAAACTCGCCAGTACACGAGGCCGGTGCCATGCTGGCGCTAGAAGAACAGGATGTGGGCGTAAAATGGAAGACACAACAGACAGCACAACCGACCTTTCCTATTCCAGATCCATCACGTCATCAGCAATCATATTGCCTACATGGGACATCCTGCGGATCAGATGGGCTGGCAGTATCACTTTCACCAGTGTCAACAGTTGACAGCGGTTTTTTCTTACACTGGCGATGACATTCCGTCGTGCATTGGAACCGTCCTGCGTTGTCTGCCACTGCTGATCGGATTGGATTGCGCTGTTACTGCTTGTTTGTTTATCTGCGCATTACCAGTCGTTTTCGTAGCGGCGACCTTGGTTGTGGTATTGGCTA